CTCTGGACATACACAGTCACTTTCTAATTTTCCCTATATATGCAGTTGCTTTTGAATGCCCTAGTATTTAATATCTGGGGTCCAAAACCAAAAAAAGAGAAAAATGAAAGGTGGGGAAGAAAGATCACTGGTCCTGTAAATCCCCTGAAAATCACCTCGGCTGGAAGGGGAAGGGTTTGCAACAGTGGAGGGAGGTGCAACAACTAGGGCTTCTCTCCTCTTTGTCACACCTCTCTCATCAGAAGCATCAATCAGTGATCATATCACAGACCTGCCCACCTTGGCTGCTGCGGGAACTTGTGCATAGCTGTCTGCCATGAGGCTAGGGCCGTGGTCAGCAAGCTGCGGCTCGTGAGCCACATGCAGCTCTTTGGCCCCTTGAGTGTGGCTCTTCCACAAAATACCACATGCAGGCGCGCATGTACAGTGCGATTGAAACTTCGTGGCCCATGTGCAGAAGTCGATATTTTGTGGAAGAGCCACACTCAAGGGGCCAAAGAGCCGCATGTGGCTCACGAGCCGCAGTTTGCTGACCACTGGGCTAGGATATGGGGGATGGGTACCTACCAATGTGCTAAGTGATTAAATTAATCAAAGTTAATGATAACTTACCATCCAACTCTTCCTCTGGAAGATGCAAGCCTTCAATAGACTACATGTTCCAGATTCTGCCAACACAGCTGTTGTTAGGTGGGGAGACAGATTCCTAATGCTTCCTTCTCTGCCATCTTCTCAGAATCCCTTCCTGTGTACACAAGTTTTTATTTCTATGGATAAATGCCCAAGAATATAATTTCAGGGGTATGGTAATTCTTTAGTTTTAAAAGAAACTCAAACTTTTTCAAAGGGGCTATCATTTTACATTCCTACCAGCAATATCTGATGCTCCTGAGTCTCTGCATCCTTGCTAATATTTGGCATTACCACTACTTTTTAAAAAAAATATATTTTATTGATTTTTTACAGAGAGGAGGGGAGAGGGATAGAGAGTTAGAAACATCGATGAGAGAGAAACATCGATCAGCTGCCTCTTGCACGCCCCCTACTGGGTGTGTGCCCGCAACCAAGGTATATGCCCCTGACCGGAATCAAACCTGGGACCCTTCAGTCCGCAGGCCCATGCTCTATCCGCTGAGCCAAACCGGTTAGGGCACCACTACTTTTTATTGTAGCCTCTCTGAGAGGTGTGTAGTGATGTGTGTACTCATTGTGGTTTAATTTTTGTTCTCTGATGGTTAATAAACATCTTACCATGTGCCTATTCGCAACTGGTATATTCTCTTCTGTCTCTTCATATCTTCTCTAATTGATTGCTTGATTTTTGTTTTGTTTTTACCTTTGAGAGTTCTTTTATATATTATAGATACTAGTCCTTTGTTGGATATGTGGTTTACAAATATTTTGCCCAAGTCTATGGCTATTCTGAGATCCTCTCAACAGGATTTTCAACTGAGCAAAAAAATTTTAATTTTGATGAGGTGCAATATCATTTTTCCCTTTTATGGATCATGTTTTAAGTGTCAAGTCTGAGAACTGTTTGTCTAGCCCTTATATATCAAAGATTTTCTCCTATTGTTTTTCCTGAAAGTTTTATAGCTACACTAATAAAAGAGAAAGATGCAAATTGACCACCACTCTGCCACTCCACTACACCCACAAGCCACCAGCCAATCAGGAGCAAGTATGCAAATTAACCCAACTAAGATGGTGGTGGCCATGGAGCTGGAGCAAGCAGAAGGCTTGGGTTGCCCCCAGCAATGGAGGAAGCCAAGCTTCCCACCTGCCCTGGCCGGCCCTTGGCTCCACTCAAGGCTACAAAGTTTCAATTATAGAAGATAAATAAATCCCAGATACTGGCTTCCAGCCCACCCTGGCCTCCACTCAAGGAGGTGCTGAAAAAAAGAAAAAAAGGAGAGGCTGGGAGCTTGGGTCGCCGGGGGGGCGTGGCCAGCCTGAAAACGGCCCTCAGCTCCTCACCCAGGCTGGCCACACCCCATGGGTGAGGGTCCCCGATGGGGGGCTTGGCCAGCCTGCAAATAACCATCAGCCCCTCACCCAGGCTGGCCAGGCACCC